AAGGCGTGATGTTATGTTATTTTTGGATTGTGCCCGGTATATGGCAATAGGCTCACCCCCTATTACATGGGACTCATAACATAAATAGTGAAAAGTGGGTGTTACATTGTACAGTAGCATTAGGTGCTGTAAAGTGCACCTCTGCCTGCTCCTTCGGGGATAAAAGGCGTGATGTTATGTTATGGATGTATCTTCCTCTCTCTCTCTCCAGAGATTTTTATCTTTGTTTTGTATCTTTTCAATTTTTTGAAGTCTATTATGATTAATATTAACTAGGTTCTGCCCACGGCTTCGTCCGCGTTCCCGTGGTATAAAAAGTAGCTTATGTGTTATTCCAAACCATAATCTGTCCCTGTTACAAATTTCATCCCGATCCCTTCAGCCGTTCTGACGTGATTGAGTGACAACCATACAGATAAACTTCGGCATTTATAATATTGGTGGACTGGTCAGCTCCGGACTGTAGTATTTTATTGCCCTTAAGGTTGATTTCTTTTTCACCTAGCTTCACTGACGTACTGACTGACAGACTATTATTTATTTTGTATTTCTTGACCTTTCAAAAGTACCAAATTATAATTTAATTGAAATATATGCTTTGACTTTGACTTTCAATCTGTTTGACTGCATTTAGATGTTACATTGTTCTTACACAATTCGGTACTTGCCAACTAGTCAAATTCAATATTTTTATCGAACTGTCAAAAGTGAGATTGTGTATTGTGACGTCACGTTTTTTTAGCGTCAAACAGCGTGGGTACTTATTTGTTAATATTTTGCTAGTAAAATACTAAAATTAAGTTGGTCATAAAATCAATTAATGAAAGTGTGATTATTTTTTAACACTTTATTGTATTGAACAGTCGAAATAATTTATTTTTGTTTATAGCAAGTACCCAATTGTACCAACGAAACAATGTAACCTAGATTTGTTTTGTGAACCTAATTTAAAAAGAGTACCTATGGAATTTCTTGTTCGTTCTTTTCCATAGGAATCTACACCTTGGAATGTAAGCAAATAGAGCAACTAGAGGACTGACTGACAGACTGACACTCTTAATATTTTGTTTTGACATTCAAAAGGGCCGTCCTGGGTGCCTAATCTTGAAACCAATTTCAATGTCAATACAATTTCAATCCAATAAAAATTCAATAATTATTATTATTAAACTATACAATCACAATCGTAGCTGTTAACATAGCATTCAGAGTACGGAATATAAAGACAAACTCAATACAAATGGTATACTTATTTAAATATCCGCGCAATACGGATGCAATGGGCGCTAGTGTTGCAACTCAAGAGTACGATATTTTACAATACCAATGTCGATCGATCGGAATTGGATTCAAGAGTAAGCCCCCTGGTCTAATTGAAATAAATGATTTTGACTTTGACTTAGTAAGATTTTCAGTTCATTTGTCATTTCATTTTAGCACATCATTGAACCATTTTTAGAATTACTTTATAGCTAAGTATAATCTATCGTTATACTTCGTAGAAGACAAGTGGTCTCACTCGCACCCACTGACCGTGCAGAAGTTGACGCGAGCAACGCCCGAGACACAGGCGAGGAGATCGGAAAGGTTAGACATATATACATATTTTTTATCATAAAAACACATTGCCCCACGCTAGGATTTTCTCCTGTGTCGTGTGTACGTTTACAAACATACAAGTTCACATCACACATAGACCCGGAAGAAATATCTGTGGATCACACAAAGATTTGTTCCGTGCGGGATTCGAACCCGCGACACTTTGCACAGCAGCCAGTTGCCCAGCCTCAGCAGTTGCAGTCAGTCATCATGACGTACAGTCAAAGGTCAAAAGTTCACTGCCACCGTGAGTGATGTTCACACGGCAATGCGTAAGTAATTTCATATTAATGTGCATAGAATCGCGTACGCACACGGATACAAATATGCGTGTGTGTGTCTGTATAAGCGCTGCAGCGCAACCGATAGTAGTCTTACGGTGGCAGTGGACTTTTGACCTTTGACCGTACATCACCATCAGCAGCAGTCTTCAAATATTAATCATAATAATACATTTATATACAAATAATTAAAACATTTTTAAGTGCGGGAGAGCCATGCTTCGGCACTGCTGGGCCGGCTCGACCGGACTGGTACCACCAACGACCAAAAAACCATAGTGAAACAACCACAACGATGTATTTCATCGTGTCAGTGAGGCCCAATTACCCCCTCTCCCTTCCTCAATCCCTGAATCCTCATAAATCCTCAAATTCCTAGTCCCCATAAGGCCGGTAATGCACTTGTTACTCCTCTAGAGTTGCGTGTATCCATGGGCGACGCCGATTGCTTACCATCAGGTGATCCGTCAGCTCGTTTACCGGCTTATTCCATTAAAAAAACATTTTCGTCCGCTCCCTTGGAGTAATACCACAACCTCACAGGAGGCCGATGTGAAACGACGCTTGCGTTGTGTTGCTTTGTGTGGGTGATGTTACCGCAGGCCCAATCCTTTCATCATCCCAAGGCCTTCGATCAACAGTGGATACGTAAAGGCTGCTGATGATCATGATGATGAATCCTTCCTCTCCCCATCCTCAATTCCTAACTCCCATAGGGCCGGTAACACAATAACTTCTGTGGTATTACGGGTGGCATGGCAATATTGTCTTAAATGTTCCAGATACTTCTGGGGCGCACTGACGGTGGCGGTGGTCTACGCGCTGCCGGTAGTACAACTACTCTTCACATACCAGAAGGTCAGTACTGTCTTAGTTATAGTCTAACTATAGCTCACACATAGGACCTACTTAGTTTTTAGTCAAATTTCCGTGGTGCTTGGCGACTGGGCTTCTCCCAGTTGTTCTTTTTTGTACCTTTATGCTTATTCATTCTATGTCTCCTGCAGTAATTCACCGAGGGAAGTGGAAACTATAGTTTTTTTTTTCCTCTTATAATATCTTCTGATTCACTCCGTTGCGGGAACCAAGACAGTTATATATGTCTCTGAGATGCGCCGATCTTCAGTGTTCCGGTGTTTTCATCTATTGTCGATCCCGATTTATAGGAGTTGCAACAGTTTTGCGAGGTTGTGGCGGGCTTGTGCCTTTATTCCTTAGATTAGCGCGTTCAAACATTAAATTCTGCAGCTGTATAAAAAATAAGAAGGTGCCAAAGAATATTATTTTCTCAAGTAATGTTTTGATGAAGTACCTCGACAAGTATCAAGCGAGCTAGGAGCTCATTAACATTGCACTGCCAGCCCTCCTCAGTTGGTCGTTTTGGCTTCAATTTCTGAGTTAGACAGAATATTATTGGAATTGTTACAAAAACTATCTACCAAAAAAATATCAGTAGTAAAAAATGATTAACAAATCCCCCCCACCCCACCCTTTCCCCCATTTCCAGATGGTATTCCAAACAGGTGACCAGGACCTCTGTTACTACAACTTCCTCTGTGCGCACCCTCTCGGGTTCCTCTCAGACTTCAACCACGTCTACTCCAACGTTGGGTACGTGGTGCTGGGACTGGTCTTCATGGCCCAGGTCAGGCATCGACAGGTCAAGAACAGGGGGAAACCGCAGGTGAGTTATTTTGAACTGTATTGTTTTTGGTTTACCATGTGTTTTTGTATGTAACACGATATGTCCTTAGGTTATTATTTCCTTTTTTATCTCTTTCACTGGATTTGGGTGTTACATTGTTCTCGCACAATCGAACCAATAAAACTATGTAACTAGAGAATTGTATTGTGAACATGATTGAAAAAGAGTAACCTATGGAGTTTCTTGATCGTTCTTCTACATAGGAATCTACACCTTGGAGCGAGCAAATAACTTCACATTTAAATTTTTTGTTGACATTCAATAATACCCTCCTGGTCTAATTGAAATAAATTATTTTGACTTTGGCTATATTGGTGGTATTTCACCACCATTATTTTTCATGTGGGTGTCATATACCCGTCTAAGAGAATGTATATCTGATCGAGCCTGGATTATCAATGGTTTTGTATAAACCTTGTTAAGTGTGATCTCTGACTGGCTGGCCAAGCATGGAGATTTAACCCTGTATGGTGTATATGTATACACAGGTACATATACACAGGTTGTGTGGTGGGAAACTCATGGGTGTCATGGACTATGTAGAACGTGGATCGTTCCGTACAATAAAAAGAAACCATAATATCTTAGACATAAGGTGTATTATTGCCTACTGGTGCATGGAACTTTCAGTACAAGTAGTCTTGTCACATAAAAGTAAACTATATTATGTACGGCATAAGGTGTATAATAACGCGGTTATGTTGCTCTACCCTGCCACTATTACAAAAAGAGACTATATTTCGTTTAGACATAAAGTGTATGATATCTGTGTGGTCAGGATATGGGCGTCCCGCAGCACTACGGGCTGCTGTACTCGATGGGGCTGGGGCTTATCATGGAAGGGCTGCTCTCAGCCTGCTACCATCTCTGTCCTAATAAGATGAACTTTCAGTTCGGTATGTATTTATTATTTTTAATGTTGTTGATATTTCATAGTAACATAACGTCATGCCTTTTTATCCCTGAAGGGCAGAGGTGCACATAAAGTGCTGTACACTTAATGCCACCGTATTTTTTAATTATAAGTTTCGCCAATCCGCATTGAGTAAACGTGGTGATTAATGCTCAAACCTTCTCCGTGGGATAAGGTGCGTTTGCTCAGCAGTGGGCATTTATAGGCTGTTGATGATGATGATATTCCTTTGTTAGAACGTTTCGCATTTTGGCATTCTAGTTTCCATTGCAAGCATATTTATGAATTGGTCACTTGGGTCGCGTGACGTCACTTCTATGTACATTTTATACTAAGAAATGACGTTTTAGCCCCCACTCCTAAACTTTGATTCGTTTTATCTAAGTATTGTTTTATTATACGACAAAATAAAAAATGCGTGACTAATATTTTTTAATTATTTAACTGACGTACTAATTATATTTTTAATTTTCACATCCTGTCATCATCCCCATCACCTTCTTATTATTATATTCCAGACTCCTCGTTCATGTACGTGATAGCAGTGTTGGTGATGGTGAAATTGTACCAGAACCGTCACTCCGACATAGTGCCCAGCGCTCACTCCACGTTCATGGTGCTCGCCGTCGTCATGACCATAGGTGAGTGCTGGCAGGGTAGCACGCAGCCCAGGGTGGAGTGATACCACGACCGACCAAAAAACTGATGTGAACCAACGTTTGCGTTGTGTTTCGACGTGTGAGTGAGGTTACCGGAGGACGAATCCCCTTCTTCCCCAATCCTTGAATCCCCAACAATCCTCAAATCCCTAATCCACAAAAGACCGGTAACGCACTTGTAACACCTCTAGTGTTGCGGGTGTCCATGGGCGTCGCCGATTGCTTACCGTCAGGTGATTCGTCCTCGTTTATTATCCCATAAAAAAAATTATAACGAATAGTGTTTTGTTTCTGCATCATCCAAAGGTCTGGTTGGAAATGGATGCCTATGGCATTAAGCCCACGTTGTACCTCAGTATGTGCATGCAGCCTTTTAAAATAAAATACTACTGTCTGTACCAGGTCTGTTCGGCATCCTATACCCGAGCGTACCGTTCTCGGTGATGTTCACAATCCTGCACATGCTGACCTGCTTCATACTCACACTGAAGATTTACTACGCCGGCAGGTTCAAACTGGGTAAGCATTACTCATAGTCTCACTAGTTAGTATACTTGGGCTCAACGTAAAGGAGCCACTCGCTTTTTTTCTTTTTCATTTCTAACATAGCATCACGCCTTTTATCCCCGAAGGAGCTCGCAGAGATGGACATTACGGCACTTAATGCCACTGTACAATGTAACACCCACTTTTCACTTTTTTTGTTGAGTCGCATGTAATAGGGGGTGAGCCTATTGCCATATACCGGGCACAATTCCAGACTCCGTGCTACCACTGAGAATTTTTTTAAAACCCAATAGTACTTTACCCGACCAGGAAATCGAACCCGAGACCCCTTGCCCGGCAGTCGCACTTGCGATCACTGGGCCAACGAGGCAGTCGCATATTGTCTGACACAAGTATTCTATTATTTGATAACGTATGTCGTATAAAAGGCAATTTAGTTACCTTTACAATGAGAGCATTTCGTTGTAAAAGGAATATATTTTTTTAAAGTTATAGACGGTTAGATAACTTAAAAAAATACGCTAGTGGGTCCGCTCCTTTGCTCCCAAGTGTAGATATAAGATATAGAGCATCATATAACCCTTAATGTTTTAGTTTCTTTAATAGATTATTAGCTTCTGCCCGCGACTTCGTACGCGCAATGCCGTTTTCTCCCGTTCCCGTAGGATTTTCATAATTTTTTCTGTCTAATAATCCTTACTTATATATTATAAATCGGAAAGTGAGTTTGTTTGTTTGTTTGTTCCGCTTTCACGTCATAACTACTAAACCGATTGCTTTGAATTTTTGCAGACGTAAAGTTAGAAGTCTGGATTAAATAATAGGGTACTTCTTATCCCAGAAAAATTTGGTATTCTCGAGGGAAAACGAAATTATTGGTATAGATGGCGCTGTGTGTATTGGTCACATAGGCTACTTTTTATCCTTTTGTGATGCGAGCGAAGCCGCGGGAAAAAGCTAGTAACAAATACAACAAAAAAGAATTAGTGAAATCGGTCCAGCCATTCACGCGTGATGCCTTGACCAAGGGAGAAAGGGATTCATTTTTATATAATTACTAGCTAACCCGGCAAACTTCGTACCGCCTACAAATTTTTTTCTCATTTTTAAAACCTTCCCTGGACTTCCACGGGCAGTTCAAGACCAAAATTAACTAAATCGGTTCAGCCGTTCTCGAGTTCTAGCGAGACTAACGAACGGAAACACATTTTTATTTATATAGATATAGATTCCTATCTAAGTACTGTTAGACGACGAAAATAAACTAAATGAACGTTACTAGTTTACTCTGTATTATCGTTTATCGACAGCACTAGCTGTCATGTCGTCGATGTCATCTGTCAAAAATGTGGGAAATATAGATTAGTAAAGTTTCTCGCGTAAAGAGTGGTAACGTTCGATTCTGGTGGGAAGTTGGACGAGCGTCACGCTGTGTTCTTATAAGATCCGTTCAGAATAAACTTTTCAGTATTCAAGTATTGAGTTTTATTTAAAAGTACTTTAGAATAAAGTCTATAATATGTTTTTTAGTTTTGGCCATTTTCCACATAGATTTATGAATATAACATAGATGTCTGGCTATTGTCTACGGGTAGAATTTAGGATCCATCTTGACGGTAAATTCATAAACATACTGTTGTTTCTTTTTTACTTATGTCTCTTTGCTTATGCAGAAAGAGACAACACATTATTGTCATTCTGGCCATAATTTTTTGACGTCATCAGAAAAACCTAGTTGTGCCGAATTGGCCATCTTAGTCCCTGTTATCAGTGCATGTCAGTGGTACATCAGCTGTCAAAGCATTGGTCAACAATATTTTGTTACGAAAATTTGTAGAATTCCTGTTGTTTTTGTGCGTGGTAAACAAAGAAATTATTGGTTAGTGAGAAGAACTATGCCCGGGTGCAGTGTTATTGGATGTAGCACTAAAAATATTACTAAACCGGCAGGTGTAACATTACATCGGTAAGTACTGTTATTTTTCATTAAAATATCTCTGTTTTTCAAACTATTCAAGTGTGGTTGCTGCAAATTGACTAAATACAATACTTTTCTAACTAATGCAGTGCTTATTTTCATTAATTTTAGTTGAAATACGTCTAAAACAATTTTCATTAAAAAATAGTGATGTACATGATTGTTCCCGTATCGATAATTTTATCGTACATAATAAATGCGTCAAAAGTAGAACAAAGAACTATACTAAATTCTGAATGATAAAGTGCATTAATTTGACATAATGACAAAATACAAAAAACATTAAGTACTCGTCAAAAATTTCATTTTATCGACAAAATTCCACCATCGTCAATACCTACGTAATGTAATAAATAATTAATACAATAGAGAATAATTTTTGTACAATATGAGATAAGGAATAATATTGTGGGAAATGCATTTTTGTCAAAATTGATTTTTTTATCAAATGCCGCTCGACGGATTCAAATGAAACAAACAAATGAAATATAACTTTAGGGTATTTTTAGAGTATTTATTAGAATGTGTCGAACTCTGCCGATAATTTTAATAATATTATAAATTTTCTTTTTAGTTTGTGCTTGAACCACGCAGAAGTTCTTGGCTGGAAATAATTAATGTGGGAAATATAGATACTAGAAGGAAACATATCTTTGTTTGTTAACTTTATTTTGAAGATTAATGTTTTAACCGAACAATAAATTAATAGTAAATCTACGTGATGGGGCCCTATCGCTACAAGCTCTATTGGTAAATCATAATGTAAACGATTCATTATGTGTTTTGTTATATTAGTTTTGGAAGCATTTTTTGAAGAGGTGCAAACTTAACATTTTATTTAACATTTATATTAAGTTCATAACTAACCGGGTTCTTGTACCTATATGTTTCTGTTTTCCTCCGCTATCTATCACTATCATTGTAATGTACAAACATTTTCGTTCAGAGCTTAGTACAGTACCTATAGAATCTATAGAAAAATCTATGTTCAATTGGATCAAGTAAGTTAAATTATACTATTTATGTTGCAGCCTCTAGCCAGATATGTGCATGAAAATGAACTTGGAACCAGTTCTGGAGTCTTCTCGAAAGATGGTTTTGCAGATTACATTACAGGGAAACACTACGAAAAATACGAAGATATTGTATATTATAAATCTTGATTTTATGAATACTTTGATACAGTTTTATTTTTCAACCCTCAAAAATTACTTAACCTTAAGTATATAAATATTGACCAGTTGATGGAAAATCCTTTTCATGAATTTCGATACATAAGTAGTTATCGTGAAAGTTATGATGTGAATGTATAGGCACGATCGACTGGAGTGACAGTGCACGCAGCAACTACTAAATATATTTCGCTAATATGTTGGTAATGTTTAGCAGCTAGATAAAAATTAAATCCAGATGAATCATAAAATAATGATATTTTATTGATAAGTCAATTAAAACCAATTCTAAAATATCGATATTTCTACAGTTTTAAAAGTTACATCCCTAGTTCTATCCGCCATTACAGGTGACCAAGTGAAGTTTATGTAGGCACGATTTTTTCCTAGTTGTTTCTTATCCATACTCTTATCATATCAGTGATTTTCCAAGTAAATTAGCCGTTAGGGTTGGCAACTTGGCACTGAGTTGAACCACGAAGAAATTGATATGTAATCCGCTATAATCGACTAAGGATAGGATAATACAATGTTCTTAATTGGTCGTTATGATAGACGCCAGTATAGATTAGTAAAAACAAATCGCCGTCGCGCCGTAAACGACTTGTAAGATTACTTTACTTGGCTAGCCGTATGATTGTCCTGGATGTTCATATTGTTCATGTAGCAACCGAACTCAACCCTAGAGTGGCGTGCCTTATTCCGAAAAGGTAATGGGCGCGTGGCATTTTGCAGCCCGACGATACATAACATCGTCTCAATCGGTCCCTAGCGCACTTACAGGGCGTATTACTAACGAGCCTAGAAGTAGTTATAAAAAAGTGCAAGACTAGGTATTAAAAAGGGCAGTACTTTTAAAAGTTATCAACGTTTGTTTAGCGCGGGCGGCAAATTTTTCATAGCACGCCCACTCTAGGGTTAAGATTATTTTGGAACATTCTCTCAGTCCATCAGCATTGTAGTTTGATGGTACACGTTCCACCCACAGAGTGGTCGGCGGCGACCCGCGGCGTGTCTGCGCTGCGGCGGGCGGGCGCGCGCGCACTGCGCCCCGCGCACTCGCCGCGCGCCGCGCTGCTCGCCGTCGCCTTCCTCGCCAACTGGGCCTTCGCGGTCTACAGGTACACACTCACAACTACACAATCATATACAAAAATGCACTCTCATACACAGACACCCTGTGTACACAAACTCTCTCATGTACACAACTTACTATTTTGATTTCAAAAAGGTCCCGAAAAACATACACACACCTCATGGGAACTCATTTACAAATACTCGCACTGACATTGCGAATACAGAACTTCCAACCCCAAAAATACACACATTCTCACTCACTTTAAACACATTCTCCCCCAAAAATCCCTCTTATACAAAAACACCTCTCATACACAAATAGGTAATGAGGCAATAACTAACTTTCATCGACCCCACATCACAATAAGAAAATGAATGCATGTATTTACCTAAATTTCATCTCTTAATGTCTTCCTGTCTAGATATATAAAATAGTATTTGTTACCGAAAGCTTTAATTGTAATATGGTAGTTTCCTAAATTTTATTTTAATGTCCGTCTGGTAGATTAATTTAAAACGATAGACACGTATTTTTTCTCTTTTCACAAAATTAAATATTTTCGACGATATATTAATTTGAAATCTTGTGTGTTCGTCTACATTTTGTAGCACGTTGTAACGTAACGACCCCCCACTCCTAAACTTAACGTCATTTTATCTAAATATTGTAACTTTATACGAGAAAATGAAACAAATACGTGTCTAAAATTTTTTCACTATCTAACTGACGGACTAATTAGATTTTTAATTTTCTTACCCTGGCAACTACCCAATAGTGTGAACTTTAATTTTGAAGTAGATATCTTCGACCGATTGAGCTGAAATTTTATAATAGCCGATAAACGAGCAGACGGATCACCTGATGGTATGCTATGGGCGTCGCCCATGGAAACCTGGAACACCAGAGGCGTTACAAGTGGGTTACCGGCCTTTTTAAATTACGAATTTGAGTATTGTTGGGGATTCAGGGGGGGGGATTGGGCCTCCGGTAACCTCACTAACACGACGAAACACAACGACAATCAACCTCAGGTTGTTTCACGTCGGCCTTCTGCTCGTTGGCGGCCCATTCGTTCCGAAGCATGGCTCCCCCGAACTTAGTTTGCATGACTATAAATGCTTGTTTTTTAAACAGTTTTTGATTTATGTTATTACTTTTTATTTGACCCTGTCTAGCGCGGTAGTCCAAAACAAAGATTTTGCTCGTCAACTCCTAGCTATACTGATGGGGAACGCGATCCTATACACGATGTTCTACGTGGCTATGAAGCTCCTACATGGGGAGCGACTGGCCCCCCACACGTGGCTGTACGGGGTGCTGGCCCATGCTGCATGGTTCGCGGCGCTCAAGCTGTTCCTCGACTCCAAGACTAAGTGGTCGGTTAGTAGCTGTTGATTTATTTCAAACATTGTTTTAAATTGTCATGTTATTTTCTTAGATGCAAGGAAATTTTTTGACGAATAGTAGTGAAGAATTGTCTACATTAATAAAATGTTAACCTCTGCTTACCAAATGGCGCTTATGTCTTATGAGGACATGCCTGTCTAGTCACCGTAGTTGCCATCGTGTAAACTCTAACGTACAATATTTTTTCTCCTCAGGAAACTCCCGCCCAGTCCCGTCGTCACAACGCAGAATGCTCAATCCTCCAGCTATACGACTCCCACGACGCCTGGCATCTTCTGTCAGCGGCCGCCATGTTTCTATCATTCAATATGCTGCTAACTATTGACGATCTCGTCGCTAACGTACACAGAGATAATCTACACACGTTCTAGAGAAATGTATACAGTGTAGAGAATTGTATGCATTCTAGAGAATTGTATACATTCTAGAGATTGTATACAGATTATTTAACAGCTGAACTCAGAGACATTTATGGTTACTTAACCCAATTTTTTGTGTGTCATCCAAAATCATCGAATGAATTCTCCCAACTTGGGTGAAGCGAGAGAGAGTGTCAGACTCTTACTGACTTAACACCACCCCGTTCCGACTACTGCATAGAGCCGGAGCACCGGTAACCTGATCGGCCGTCCGGAACTGACCGTTTTCGGAACAAAATCGTTGCTAAGGAATTGTTTTCAGTAATCATTATATGTCTTTAAGTACGACTTCAAAACTTGAATACAGATAGACATGTACAATTATTAATGAATACACTATATAGCATGTATAGAGCTACTCTTAATATGTATACTTTCTAGAGACATGTAGACAATCGTATTTTATAATTCTTAGATTAAGAATGTTTATTTGCAGTAAGTATGAAGTGGGAATATTATATTCTACACAGTTAAATGTATCGAATTGTCTACAGATAGGATACATACTAGAGACATATTTGTATTATTATGTTGTATAGAAACTCACTATTAGCTATTTTGTATACACTCTAGAGAATGTATACATCCACTCTAAATTATGAATTGTATACATTTTAAACATTTTAACCCAAACACTGACTGCCCCGTTGGCCGTGTGGTCGCAAGTGCAACTGCTGGGCTAGGGGTCTCGGGTTCGATTCTCGGCTCGGGCAAAGTATTACTGGGTATTTAATTAAATTCTCAGTAGTAGCACGGAGTCTGAAATTGTGCCCGGTATATGAAAATAGGCTCACCCCCTATTACATGGGACTCATAACATAAATAGTGAAAAGTGGGTTTTACATTGTACAGTGGCATTAAGTGCCGTAATGTGAACCTGTGCCTACGCCTTCGGGGACAAAAGGTGTGATATTATGTTCAACTCAAACATTAGTGTTTTATACAACAGGCTGACCAGAATAGTATTATTAGCGTATATTCAAATGACATTTTCCATCTCACTCACACATATAGAAAGTACACAAGACAAACAGAGATAGAGATAGTTCATATTGTAGTAAGAAATATATATATTTGTATATTTTTTTAATATTTTTTAGGAATATATCAAATTATTTTAGGGGGCGTCCATACATTGCGTGAGGTGTTTTTGTTTTATTTTATTCCCTCCTCCCTCCCCCTGGTGAGATTTCGTGTGATTACATTCAACACCCTCCCCCATCCCCCAATCGAGATTTTTCAAAATGTTGGTTTTTCACGTAAACGCGTTGTATTGTTATTACAAAAAGAAAAGAAAAAAAGCTTCGTGTTTTTGTTTACCAACTCCCCCCCCCCCCGTAAATATCTCACGTAATATATGGACGCCCCCTTACTCAAAGATTCTTATGTTAGTGTTATATTGTAGCCGAAAAGATATACTTTTATGATTGACAATTAGAAACTGTAATGCTAAGGTAAAGATCATTTTTCATTATTTATACGTTTTTTGTGACATATTAACACTCGAACATCAACTTTATAGTAATAAGAATAAGGTGCACATTGTTTTAACTACATGTATGTATTTCATGATTTTCGTTAAGTTTTTTTTTCATATATATGATCAATTTTGTGTCTTATGCTATAGATGTTAAGGTTGAAATTAACAAGTAAAGTATATCTGTCAAAAAATATTACCAAAAAATTGTATGTACAGATGGCTGCACATCAAGCTACTACCCCATTTCGTAAAAAAAATTTTGCTGATTTACGCGACGCGGAAATCGAACCCGCAGCACTTCACGTAGCATCAGGTTATTCAGTTAGTGCATACACAGTTACGGTTTTAATATTATTTTGTAGAAAA